GTTTTCGGGTGAAGGCCCTATGAGGCCCTTGGCTTTGGCTGATAATGGTGATGCCTTTGGTAGCACATCCCTCGTTGGAGGCATTGTTATGAGCCCCCCTTACCCTATAGGAGTCTGGTTGAAAAACCTAGGTTCTCCTATCAGCGTTGTCGACATCTACGGATGTCATTACCCTTCTTGGAGACATCGCTGCGGAAACCTACTCCCCTTACTAGTTTACGTTGCTTGTGCCATTGGCGTTCAGAGCGTTGTTTGATAGCTGTTGCTTCTGAGGATCGTGGTTTTTGTGTTTCTTGCAGTGGTGGTTCTATTGTTGCCTCCTTCGTGATGTTGTAGTTTTTATTTTATTTTTGATTTTTGTAATTGCTTCTTCTCTGTTAATATATGCCCGGCATACCCCTACCGATGGCTCTTCAAAAAGACACATACCTTAATCCCTATATGTAAAATGACTATGTTCTACTAAAACAAAAAAGTTTTGAATTCGATTTCATGCTATCTGGTCGGAATTCATTTCATCCTTAAGGCGATGATTGGTTTCTAGCATATGGTCGACCTAGCTAGTGAGGTGCAATCTCAACTTGTTTGGTATATCTCGGTGCTCTATTGGACCCACGGAGATTGGTTGTCAAGAAACGAATCTAAAATCTATTTTTCTTTGGCCGCAGGCGCTTGGCGTAAAGGCTTAGGCATCTGTGACAAATCAGCGACTATCTTTCCTTGTTGCAACTAACCAAACAAGGGTCAACTCAACCGGGCTCTAATGGGCCACACAAACCAACTATGCCTCTATGGATGCATAGGATCTAACCCAAGCTAGCATAGCTCTGCAGGTCAGTCAAGCTCCGGGCTGTACAACAAATCAATGACGCCTTAAAGGCCAATTTGGTAGAGCTCCTCCTGCTTCAGGTTCTCTTTGGAAGTTAATTCTCTGTGTGAAGTGATTCTCTGACTGAAATTGATTGTCTATGATAAACTCTATGTAAACAGTGATTCTAGGCGTGGAATGAATCATTTTTTTTCAACTCCTAGCCTCCTAGCTCAATTCAAAGAATTACTTCATCGAATTAGCAAAGAAGCACTTATCAGTACAACAACTGTTTCGCATAGCTTCTCCTAGATTCAGCCTGGAAGCTGCTCTAGGTGCTCTGCAAAACTGGCCGTAAGGGCACCTGCAATGGTTAGAGCTAGTTACTACCTCTAAGCCAATTCCTCCAATAGTGCTAACTTTAGCACATAGATTTTAACATGGATAGCCATATATGACACTCTCACATAACCTTGAAGTGTGTGCAAGAGCTTAGCTCTTATCAAGAGCTATATTTGCTCTCTTCTATTAAAATATAAGAAAAATGCTTAGAGCTGGCTTAAAAGTCAATTGTTGGAGCTGCCCTAAGATATCCATGCAACTACTTGCTCATGTTTCTTACATAGAGCTAACTGGGTCAAAATATAACAGGTACAACAAAACAACTTCTCTAGGGATACACACTAGGACAATTACATGGACAAATTAGGTTAATCTCAAAATTTTCCAGCTCAATTCTCTAGATGTACTTACAAGGGTAGAGTTTTCGTATGTTCCCTCATAAGGATGAGTGTGGACAAGTGGTATGAGCATCTGCATCTATTAGGGCTAGATAAAAAGCTCAATGAGCTTGATTAGTGATCCAGTTCAACATTGCTCTGATTCACCTTTGTCTTTTCAAGTTCCAAATTAGTTCTTTTTTTAAGAAATTTAATTTTATCGTGGCTCGTTAAGCTTGTGTGAAATTGGGTATCAAACAATGAGTATGACAAATAATAATATATCAATCTTGATGAAAGCTTGAAAATGCTCTTATGCAACCTGATTGCAAATAAAAATTGTTGAAACAAAAAATATTGAGCTAGATAAAAATAGAACTCCTTTGGAGTAATAAAATATAATAAATTAAATTTTGTAGTGCAATGGCTATATCGAGATAAATAGGGGATTTTCCATGATTTTGGAGAATTCGATTTTGGAGTACAGTCTAGAGATCAGTCGAGTCTCGAGTGCTCCCTCGCGCATTCCTTCAATTTCCCCACTCTCTTGCATCAAAAAAAATTCCCCACTCTCATTCGTCTTCCGCGTGCGAACCACATGTTCGGTAGGGCAAATCTGTTTCCCGTGGCACAAGAACTTATAGCCGATGAGTAAGGATCCACATGTTGTATGTTGCTAGTAGCATTAAAACTCAAAGAATTTACAGTAGACATCGACTATTGACCATATCCATAATTATGATGTTTATGATAAGGAGCATTAACAAAAGTACCAGCCAATGCAGCATATCTGGTATCATTATGACTAGCAACACCAACATGAGAGCTCATTGAACTTGCAAAATAATTATTAGAATCATAAGATGCATTTGCAAGCTGTACCTTGGGGTAATTATAGTAATTTTGTGATGCAACACCTTGGTACTCCATGATTTATAACTTGACCGTCTTGCTGAATTTTTTAATAAGCAGCACAACTTGTTGCAAAATCACAAACAAAATCACATAGGGTCAAAACTAGATGTGTTATGTGGGGCCGACAATGTCAATGCTGCTCCAGGGCTCGAGATGCTGCCAGGGGCGCACCCAATGAGGTGCATGTTGAGACAGCTGAAATCAATGGCAGTTAAAGCTACTGGTTAGGGGTTAAAACCCAAGGAGGCACATGCACAGCCAGCTGCAATCAATGACAGTAAGCTGCCCGCTTAGGGAGTAAAAAGGTAATGGCTAGGAGAGAATCGAGGAGTTAGGACTCAGAAACTTCTATTTATAATATCTTGTAACTGGCTGAGAATGAAAAAAAGTAAGAACAAACCTATTCCTAATTTCCCTGTTCTCTCTTTATCTCATCCTCTTCATCATAGAGTGCACAAGGGATCGAGAACCTCGGCGCCATTATCAACCCGAGCTACGAGCTTCGTAATCGAGGGCCAACTACCTTGAGCACCAATGCCTTTGACAAGATGCGATCGGCCTTTTGGTCCAAATGCAACGGTAATGGCGAGCATAAGAATATCGATCAATCAAAGGTAGGGCTAGAGCAAGAAGATTCAGCTACAAAGTAGAGCCGAAGCAAATTCTTCAACAGAGGAGTCGCCAAAAAGTGCCTTGACACCAGATTGATCCTAGATCACACACCAGCAAGGGCTAGATCGCCCGGGCCGCTACGGACCGAAGAACACAGCAAGGATGTCACACTTAGGTGGTGAAGAATGGAGAGGTTTACAAGCAAACCACTAGAGGATAACCAAGATGCTTTTGTGACGAAGAACCGACTAGTTTTCAGGCAAACTAGCAAAGAAACTGTCAAATCTCTGGCCCAGGAAGGACTCCGTCGGGGGCAAGGACGTCGTCGGGTTGCCCTAGGTCGACCAGCAAGCCTAGGATGCCATCATTAGTCGTCGGATCAAGGGATGAACAACATGGGGGTTGGAGTAGATTGATTTTGATGATTGAGTGTTGGATCCTTCAACCGGCCCTGATCCTCTCATATATATATAGAGGGGTAGTCTTATCCCATAGGAAACAACTCCAGATCGTGATCTCCAAGTTTTCTATGCGAAAATACGTCAAAATTATGACCAAAATAGAGTCTGGGTCGGACTTGTATAGGCAAACCGGCCTAGCCGAGACCGGTTTTCACAGGGCCCGGACAGCCATAGGTGCAGGCAAACCGGCCTGTCTCGTTTGCAAAGTGGCCTTCAAATGGTGTGGAAAATCTTACAAAATTTTTAATTAATTCATTTGGACTCTAAACGAGGCAAACCATATATGTTTTTCGATCAGCTCGATGAGAGAAACGCAATGGTGCAATCCAATCTTGCATTTGAGGAACTTGCCTTAACTGGTCTGGCCGGTTTGGGAACCGGCCTAGCCAGTTCCAGCAGGATCAGCACCCTCGAAACGTTGTTTCTTCGTGCAGGCTGCAAATGGGAGGATCCAAATATGTCTTCTCACTGTCTTGACGATAGAAACATGATGGCGGAGTCTATTATATACTTTGGCCACTTTTGGTTGTTAACAAATAAATTATATGAGCTAGCTGTTTTAATACTGTTGGAGCTATCCTTGGACAATCGAGTATTTGTTGCAGGTGCAGCGGTTGGTAAAACGAACTTCCCTCTTTTGATGTGGGCTCTTCTTTCGTTTAGCTATGTGGGACAGGTGCCTAGCTGCTCGGAGTTAGTCTGTATGTCTAGTTTCTTCTATCTCTAAGTACAAACAGTCTTTTGTATTTACGTTTACATGAATGGAATGGGCTCTGTGTAAAAACAGCATAGAAAATTGCTTTTTTTCACAAATAGATTGCCGTTTTAGTATTAACTAGAAGAACACCCGCGTGTTGCTGCGGGAACTACTGATTTGGAATGAAATTTAACTATTTATATAATTTTTAGGAAGAGATTAACTATTATAAACTAATGTTAGTGGATAGCGTGACACACTAACGTGGATAACTAAATATATGTCAGTGGATGATGTGTCTTGCTGATGTGGATATCATAATTGCTTATGCTAGTGGACTTTAATTACAAGTGATAGTGGACTACTGAGGTGGACACCTTGCATGTCAAGATAATATTCTAGTGTGGTTTAGAATTATAAGAGATATAGATTGGGTAAAGCTTCTATTGGGTCATCTCAACAAATCTGAACAAAGTTATTTTATCACAAGACAACTTCACAGAAAGAAGAGCACATATACACTACGGATCTAGGAGAGACGACCACGAAACCCAAACTCATGTGCCGTGGTGAGTAATGCTCATCCGTTCTAAATTATAAAACATTTTGGCTTTTAAAGATTCATAGTTTTTATTATACGTCTAGATATATGTTATATTTAAATACATAGCAAATGCTATGAATTCAAAAATGCTAAAACATTTTATAATTTGGGAAAGAGGAAGTACTAGTTACTGCAGTTACTATACCTTCACCCATGACACATGCACGTACGTACGCCTAGCCTGCTAGACGCTGAGGTACATGTCGATCTTGAGTACGGCGTTGTTGCTGCTGGCGTTGAAGGCGTGCGTCCTGAGCAGGCCGTAGCCGACGGCGCCGCGGAGGCCGCCCGTGGCCCCAACCACGGGCAGCTCCCTGACGTCGTCGAGGATGGCGTCCCTGGCCAGCACGGCGACGGCGCTCCCGTTGTGCTCCCCCGCCGTGAACACCATGTTGGCGGAGAGCAGCAGCGCCGCCCCGTCGCCCGAGCGGGACGCGAAGAGGTAGAACCCCTGCACGCGCCCGACCACGCGGGACGACGCCGCGTCGGGCCCCTCCGTCAGCGGGTCGTCGATCACGTACATGTCGCCGAACCGGTTGATGGGGTCGCCCGGCAGCGGCGTCGCACCCCTCACCACGCGCTCCGCCGTCTGTGCGCTCCCCGTGGACGCCGTCACCGTGTCGTGCATGTAGAACTGGAGGTGGTGAGTAGTTTTGGCGGTGCCGTTGGTGATGGCAGTGGCGGCGAGCACCGCTAGCAGGATCTGGATGGTGCGGTTGGCGTTGGCCATGGCCGCACGGGCGACAGAGGTCGTGTACGTGCTAGAGAGAAGGAAGAGATGAAAGGAAGCGAGCAATGAGGTGAGATCATGATGTCCGTAGTGTTAGCTACTAGTTTGGTGATGGGGTCGTAGCTAGTGTGTCCTACACTACTACGTTTAGGGTGGATGACAGCGAATGGATCAGTGGATGTGCATCGTGACTACCTTTAGGTAGTGCGTACTCGCAGTCCCTCAGTCCCTGTAGCAAAAGCAAGGAATCGATCGATCCATCGATTGTTAAGCAATAGCACTAACGATCGGTGGTCGGGCTTGAGAGAGGCTTGGCACCTGCAAGCTAGCTTGTGTGGTTCACAGACGGTGCACGTACGGGCCACTATGGCAGCAGGTCCAGTTCGGAGGTTGGTTAGTTCATGGCCGATCTGAATCGAACCAACCATTGAAGATTGTGACTGGTGTGGTTCGTGAAAAGCATCACCTTTTGTCCTGCTCATCTTTTCTCCTGTTTGCAAATTGTGTGGCGGAGCGGGCTCATGATGAAGCCGAGGGTGTGCATGGGTCAGCCTGTTCAAGGCTTGCCTAGTGCAACATGGGCTTTGTTAATGTACAGCCTGGAGTGAGTCCTACTGGCCAATCCCGGTTACGCATATGGCGCGCTATAGGGCTATACAATCTGTATGAACACGAGCAGGCCAGTGAGATCAGCTAACCTGTACGAGTACAGAAATTCCATGCCTATGAGGCCTGCAAGTGCAACATTATGCCCATGAAAGTGAATTTCAGCCCGCTCTGTCCACGATGACAAAGGCAGGAATAATTTTCAGATGTGGCCAGATTTATAAAAAACAAACATATGTATCATACTGCTTTGCAAATCTAACAGAAATCCAGCCAATACTTTACTTTTAGATTTCTATTATATTTATTGTTTCTGGATGCCCTTATGGATTCACTACATTTTGCAGTTGGTAACATCATTATCCTATAGAAATGAATCAATTTGTGGTATGTTTATCAACTTCATACGCGCACACACAAATAGGATGGTATGTGCCTATGTACCGTGAGTTTAAATATAGTCAGCCTAATAGGCTTCTGATAGTTTTTTTCTCATGGTCAAAAACGGTCTTCAGGGACGGTTCTTAAACCAACACTACGTCATCGATTGTTAAATTAGGACTCTTGTAGCATTGGATATTTAATCTCCTCTGAAAAATCATACCATATGGTTCTGACAGTCATAATAAGGACAATATATATCCTTTGTCTATTTAAACAAGGCCAAAAGCAAGGGCTCAATTGATCGATTGCTAAGCAATGGCACTAACAATCCATCGAGGACCGGGGCTTGAGAGAGGCTTGGCACCTGCAAGCTTGTGTGGTTCACATATGGTGCACGTACGACGGGTCACTATGGCAGCAGGTCCAGCTCAGAGGTTGGTAAGTTCACTCCCGATTTGAATCGAACCAACCATTGAAGATTGTGACTGGTGTGGTTCGGTGAAAAGCAATCAACCTTTTGTCCTCCTCATCTTTATTTTCTCCTGATGAGTCAGCTAGTTTTACTGAAACTGTAAAGTGCTGATCCAGATCTGGGACGCGCCCACCATAGCCAGTGGCCACCCCGCCGCCGCCACCTCCGGCTCCGGTGCCCAGCTCTCCCTCCTCCCCTCCCTTCCCCAACCCCTTTCTCCTCCCCCTTGCGAGATCCCTCTGCTCAGCCATGCGCGACGCCACAGTGCATGCCAGCGCTGGCGCAGGCAGCCGCCCCGGCAGCGCCGACCGCCACGCCTCACCCCCTCCTCCCCCCTCGCGCGCCCCAGCCCCCCTCCCCCGCAGCGCGGCCCTGATACCGGTGCCCGTGGCGTTGGGGGCTGGTTTTCCGGCGACAACGCACAGGAGACGGGGCCGGCAGGCATAAATGCCCCGCCGCTCGCCGGATCTGGATCCACATCAGCCAACGTGGCCATCTCCTCCTCCTCCGGCGCCCCGTCGACCCCTCCACCGCCAGGGCCGGCCGCTGGCAGCCCGCTGTAAGGCCGCAGCGCCGCCGGTCTCCACCAGCCCCTCCAAGCTCTCGCTAGATGCGGCCCCGTTCTACCCAAGCCCCTCCTCCGGAGGGCGCACGAAGAGTTGCCGGTGAACGGACGACAACTGCGAGGGGTCCAACGATGACCAACCCGCTACCTACCTCGACGCAGTTCTTCGTCAGGCGAAGCCGGTTTCGGCATCCCCGCCGCGCGCCCAGCCTCGTCCAGCGGTGGTTTTGGGCGGGGCGTGCAGACGCCGGTCAGCAGGGACGTGGGCGAAGGCCGAGGAGACGTTGTCGGCCACGTCCCCAGCTGGTGCACGGCCTGCCTGCTCGTCCTGTGGATGGCCGCGTCCTCGTCCGCCAATGCCTTGATCGTCACGGACGGGTCTCCGCCCCCAACGCTAACGAGTGGCGTGAGATTCTCCAATGGTAGGATACACGACCGTCGGCCGCCTCGACCGAGAAGCAGCTCCCGCGGGCTCGAAAGATCCCTACACGGCAGATGTTTCAACTGCCTTTGCTACTCACACCGAGTAGCGACCTGCCGGTTGCCATGGCGTTGTCTGCGCTGTCACGGCTACCGTCACCTCGCTAGGGACTACAAGTGGCCCAGGCGTGCCGCGGCGACGGTGTCGGAGGCAGGGGGTGGCGGCACATGCCCTTCCCTGCACGCGCCACATGGTGGCTCGGTCGGAACCGCGTAGATGGCTGTGGGGGGGGGCACCAACGGCACCCGTCGACGGCGCCAACGGTGCCGGAGCAAGCTGCCGAGGGAGAACAACATCGCTACTTCTACAACCGCACACTGCTCCCATGAGTCTGACCCGATGCTCGATGAGCTCGCTACCTCGCTTGTCGTGAGTCGATCTGCGGGTGCTCCAGCGTTGGGGCGCCCGTCTACTCTCGACTGCGGCCTCTCTGGAGGCTCAGGCATCGCTGGCGGACACCCGTTCGCCACCACGGATGGTTCAGCTCAACTTCGCGGATGCTGAGGCGCCGGGGGTGGATGGTGACGATCTGCTAGTTTCGCCTTCGGCCCTCGCCAGGGAGTTTGCTAGGCGCGTCTCTACCCCGCTGAAGACTCCCATCCTCAAGGCGCCACCCCGACGTCGAACCCGTCGCTCTCCATCGTCGGTCACCATCCACCGTAGCACGTGTTTGGCGGCAAAGTGTGTCTCTCGGGCCCCTAACGCCACCCTTCAAGCACATAAGGTGCTTGTGTCCAAGTGGGAACCCTCCGCCTCACAGCCGTCGGATTTCCAGGTTGTGGCAGACTTCAACAGACATTCCATGGTCCGCTCGACGCCGCAAAGAGGGCCACACTTTGAGCGCTTATGAAGTTCGACATGGTGGGGTTCAAGTGTTTGTTTGAGGAGGCATGCTAGTCTCATTGGTGTCTGCTCAATTGGTTGCACAAATTTCTTGTAATGTAATTTAAGTTAGTTTATCTGGGTCATGTTGTCTTCCATCCTTCCACGGTAATTTATGGATTACTTGGGGATGTTGTAACCAGTCAAACTCTGCTTCTGCTTAATGAAATACGTGTCGTAAGGACACGCTCGCGAAAAAATTTTCTCCTGATTGCAAATTGTGATGGAGCCGAAGGTGTGGCCTGTTCAAGGCTTGCCTAGTGCAACATGGGCTTTGTTAATGTCACGCCTGGAGCGAAGCCTGGGCGAGCGCGGTTACACATCAGGCGCGCCATCGGGCTATACAGTCTGTAGGAACCCGAAGGCCCAGTGATTCTAGCTAACCTGCCCCACTAATGAAATTCCATGCCTACGACTACGAGGCCTGCGCGTGAAACATTATGCCCATGAAAAGAAGTTCAGCCCGCTCGGTACAGCTATGGCTGTCTAAAATAATATATGCAAAAAGGCATGTAGTCTACTTTTTTTTTTGCGGGGAAGGCATGTAGTCAGCTGATTAGAAGAGTAGCACTCCTGGGTTCGCCTTTTCGTAGGGAGTGAATATTCAAAGATTTCATGGCATTGTGTATTTAGTGGTTGGCGACGCTCCCGTCGACATTGAGGCATCTATCTCAATCTTGAGGATTTACCATACCAGTCAGAGGTGGAACCAGGCGGGCCAGCAGGGGCCGTAGCCCCAGAACAATAGATTCATTTAATACTTATACAAATATTTCAATTTATAGGAAAAAAATACCAATTGTCACTCATTTTTTATTAAAATATTATGATCTTGGTTATAAATAGTGTAATTTTTAAAAAAAAAATTATTGAAACATATAATTATGTATATTTTATCACACTAAAAAATACGATCGTATTTGTCTGGCCTCCCTCAATCAAAATCGTTGGTTCCGCCTCTGGTACCGGTCTTTGAAAAAACTCGAAGGGTAGGGTTTGCGTGCATGTATTTATAGGAATGAGTGTTTATGCACTGTAAAACTATGTAATTCAAAGATTTAGTGATATTGTGCATCTAGTGGTAGGCGACATTCTCGTCGACAGTGAGGCGCATGTCTCAATCTTGAAGATTTGCCAGCCTAGTCATTGAAGAACATCATAGGGTAGGATTTGCTGGCCCATATTTTGAAAAAACATAAAGGGTAGAGTTTGCATAAGTGGGTTCATAGGGATGAGTGTTCGTGCATTGTAAATAAAACTATGTAATTTTGAAAAAAGACAGCTTCCCTACTACACAAATGGTTTTGCGAGACACTGCCCTATCATTAACACAGGTGATTAGAAAATCCTAAACCGTCTCGTAAAATACCTGAGAATTTTCGGAGGCGGACATTTTATCTATGGAGGCGATCAAAATTTGCCGCCTCCTGAAATGGGTTTATCAAAGCGGCCAAAAAGGAGGTAAAAAAGTGATCGCCTCCTAAAATAGATTTACGGAGGCGGTCAAAGTGCCCACCTCCTAAAATGAATTTACGGAGTCAGTCTTCTTAAAATATCCGCCTCCGAAAATAGAGACCATTTACCAAGGCGGACCTCGTAAGAGGCTCGCCTTTGTTAATAGATTGAGGCCCAAAGTCCAGCGCAATAATCTAATCGTATATAAGGCTAGGGTTTGACTCGCAGTCCATTCCTCTCGCGCACAGCCACCTCCCTTGACTGGCACGACTCCCTTCTCTCTCGACCGGCGTGGCTCCCTTCTCCACGACCAAGCTCAGAGTCCTCTCCCTCTAACTCTCTCTCTCATAGCCGGTGACCCTGGCGGATCTTGCGCGTGCGGGCCCTCCAATGGTGCGGCACGGCGCATGGCCTCATTCTCCAACGGAGCGGAGCCCGGCCTTCTCCTCCGCACGCGGGAACTGGCCCCCTCCTCCTCCCGGATCAGGTGCGGCGATAGTGCAGCACGACCTCTGAGCGGTGGTGCGGCTCTCCCACTCCCTGCGGTGCGGCTCTCCCTCACCCCTTGAGCAGCGATGCCACCTAGAGCGATGGCGCAACCCCGAGCAGCGGCAGCTTTGCGTTGACCCCGTGTGGCCCCGAGCAGAAGTAGAAGCAAAGGGACGGCACGCCCTGGAGCAGCGGATCTGGCGGCGCCCGACTCCCCGAGGCGATTAACGGTGGCAGATCCGGTGGTTCATGACGGCGGATACGGTTCGGGGCCTGGGAAACGGGCTCGCCGGTGGGCTCAGAGATGGGCTCACTAGCAGATTCATGGATTTTTTAAAAATTTATCGATTAACACTGCCTCTGTAGCTGGTATTTTTGCAGGCGGGTATTGTACCACGCCCACCAACGTAGTTTATATTTTTGGAGGCGGGCAGGGTGGCTGCCTAGGAAGTTCCTGATAAAAATGGATGTTTTGTGTCAGGCGGACTGAATGCCCGCCTGCAGAAATGCATCATGTAGTAGTGCCTCCCCCGTTAGCTTAATCTTTTGAGTTGAACCAGTTTTGGAATGCAACTCTATATTGTATCGAAGCTAGAGGTTTCGAGTTCAAATCCTAGCAGGCATAATTAAATAAAATAATCGTTGTCTGCTCCTACTCCACGTGAGGGGCAGTGTTGGAGTATAAGTGATTGCCCACCTCTCTCTTTTAGCTTAAGTTTTTGGGTTGAACTAATTGGTGCATGCAACTCAATAGTTTGGGATGTATGGAAAGAAATAAATCAAAGAGTGTTTCGGGATAAAGAGTTATCGACCCGTTTGCTCTTCAGAGAAATTAAGGATGAAGCTAAGAACTTGGGCACTAGCAGGGGCAAAGAAACTATCTGAGATCTTGTCTCCCTATGGCTGATCTGCTGTAGTAAGTAGTTTTTACTTTTGTTTTTGCCCTTAGGGGTTGTACCTTCTTCTCTATCAATACAAATGGGCACCATCTTGTGCCTGTTTTTCTTTCAGAAAAAGGAACAATCTCCACCATCGATTCCAACTGATACCACCTGCTGACAAGAGCTAGGCTTGTGAGCTGCATTCTGCTGGTTTGTTGGGCGCAAAAGCATCCTCCATGTAGAGGGTTACCTCAGCATATTCCTAGCCATACAAAAAGGAAAATTGTAATCCGTGCAATATCTCTCTCTATGGATAGATAGATAGATAGATAGATAGATAGATAGATAGATAGATAGATAGATAGATAGATTGGCTGGGCACATACCTTAGTCTGGATATGAGCTAGCTTCATTTCGTTTTCTTTTGACTTACACCACTCCAATAGTTCAGGGCAACCTGAAACTTTTAGGTATTGCAGGTTGATGAGCTTCTGGATGCTCTCTGACAAAGTAATGATGCCAGGGCAATCTTCTATCGTAAGGCTCTGTAGATTGGTGAGGTTTCCAAACCAGTCCGGTAGTGCTGCAATGCTTTTGCAATCTCTTAGAGTTAGAGAATGGAGTGAGTTGAGCCGTGTAATGATATCTTGTGAGCTGCATTCGAAACCACTATTGTAGTGCTCGATGTGTAAAGAACCTATTGCAGGGAGTTTGTGTAGCAACTTCCATTCATACAGAGGCTTCTCGCAGTATTGTACAATAAGACCTTTTATAACAAAGGAGGAGCCACTGGAGCTCTGTCGTGCCTCCCATGCTGATATTACATCATCACAATTCCTTATGCCCCAGTAGTAATTACCTCTAGGAGGGCATGGTTTCAACTTCAACTTGGGGCAGCAACTCAAAGACAGAATAAAGAGGTTAGGGAACACAAGTACACGTGAGCGACCCTCGCCACATGAGTAAGTCGTGTTCCACTCTTCTAGATTTTCCATTCTACCTATACGCAAGGCAGACAGCTTAGGAAACGCTCCTGCACCACCGTATAAATCGCCATATATCTTTCTAATGCTGTCCATTTGTTCTATAATCAGCTCACTAAGGTTTGGTAACTGACCGAGTGGTGGTAGCGCCTTGCAGTTAGGCAACTCCTTTATGGAAACCCTTACAATATTAGGTAAATATTTGCAAATATTCATCATCCATTCTGGAAATCTTCTGCTGTTATAACCTCTTAGCTGGAGATTTTTTAACGACACTGGTGGTACTAGCTCTGTCAAAACTTCGATGTCCCTCACACATCTCTTAGCACCTTTGGTCCATTCGAATGTTATTCTCTCAATCGTTTGTTTCCCCTTCAATTCTATTCCGTGTGCCTCCTCAGAATACTTGACATTTTCAAGCTTGCTTATCTCCAGGGTTTCAGGATTTTCATTCTTGAGCAGAACAAGATTACTGTTGGTTTGACCATCAGTGGGAAGGACCACAAAGTGCGGTAGTAACACAGAACCTTTTATTAATCTTAACTGTGGTAGAGTTGACCGGTCCAAGTGTGTGCAACCAATTACATTGAGTTGCTTCAAACTAGAGATTTCAGATATACTAACTGGCAGCTTCCTGAGGTTGAGACAATGAGAGAGGTCCAGTGTATGTAGCTTTCTGAGATTACCAACAGCTTCGGGAAAACTCCATAGATTCCAGTTTGTTGACAGATTTAGATGCTCAAGGCTGGAAAGGGTCATGATGAGCGCTAGGAAACTGTTGCCTTCATCAACGGGATCGTCGCCAAACATAGTTTTTAGGCAACGGCCTAAATTCAAATACCGTAGTACTGTGAGATTCTCCATAGCTTCTTGTAGCCCTCTGAGACTCCCTTGTTGACGCCCAGAGCAGCCTGACAAGTTCAAATACTGGAGTTTTGTAAGGCCACCCAAAGCTTCTGGTACACCTTTAATGTTTTCACAGTTTGACAAATCAAGATGTACCAAACCACAGAGCTTTCCAAACGAACCCGGCAATTCATGTAATTGATAAGAACCAGATAGATTTAAATATACGAGTCCAGTGACACTTGCCAAAGCATCGGGGAGCCTTCTGGGCCATAATGAACGTGTAGGATAATAATCATTTGCGGTTAAGTTCAAATATTTGAGTTTGGTCAGTTTCCCCATGAACTCTATATCAACTCCATCATCAGTGTCGAAGCTGTACAATAAATATGAGCTGTGTGCTAGGTTCAGATATTGCAGATTCCTGAGCCTGCCCAGTAATTCTGGTAAGTGACCAATTTTTCTGCAATGTGATAAGTTCAAATACTGAAGTTTCATGAGGCTACCCAGAAATTTTGATACTCCTGATACTTCAGAGCAATTCGACAAATCCAGATAGTCCAAATTTTTAAGATTACCAAAAGATTCTGGCAGTTTCTGTATTTTCATACAACCTGATAAATCAATGTAGGTCAGGCCTTCCATTTCTCCGATTTTCTCAGGCAGGGCCAGGATTTCAGAGGATCCACGAATACTTAGGTAGCTTAATTTCGAGAGATTGGTGATACAATTGGGCAATTGACTGATCTTGGATCCATGGAGCATTAAGATACCTCAACTCCTGTAACTGTCCAATAGAATCTGGCAATTTCTGTATGCAGCATTCACTTAAATCCAAGACGCACAAGTACCTTGCAGGTGAAAATGCTGAACCATGTAGTTCCATTTTGCCACATTTCAGAAACCGCAGTGCTTTTAGGCTTGCACGAGAGCTCAAGCATAACTCCAGTGGCTTGCTGCAGTCTGTGAGCAACGCATATTGGCAACTTCCTCCCTTAGTATTGCCTTGTTTGCTCTGATCCAGAATTTGATTGCCAAGGAGTGAAACTGCCAAGTCATGCACCAGATCATGCATAGTAAACAATGTGCCTTGTTCATTGTACTCTTCAGAAGTCTGCATCGAAAGTACAAGTTAGTGTCAGGTTCTCAACTACACTTGATTTGTACAATATCTTTAAATATACCAAAAGTCCATGAGTATGACCACTCCACAAAATCTTTCAGGCCAGCCATTCATTGAACAATGATTAGAAAATGTTAACTCATACTACTAAGATAACTACATTGCTGGTTAAAATTATTGTTCAATGCATTGTTCTTTTCAAATCGTAACATTATCATGCGGTTGGATGAATACGAACATCTTCAAAAGCTCCATGAACCAACTCCCTAACACTTTTTCTTTAAATACGAAAAAACAGCATGTAACAATTTTGAATATAAACTCCCCAAAGGGAAGCACTTCATAATTCCCCCTCCAACTCCCAAATATGCCCATGTGTGCCACATTGTGCATCGGTGCCTACCACTGTCCCAAACAGTCCCCACTCCTACCCTCTTCACTCCTCCTGTTCCCACAGTTTTCATCTTGTTCCCTTGCTATGAGTGATAATACTTTTAGATCCTGTTAGACAACAACTTTTTGTTGGTTAATCTGGCTAACAAGGAATGAAGTGGTTTTCTGACAAGTGTAGACCGAAATCTTTCTTGTGGGTTCTTTTCAGGGGGGCAAATAGACTCTGATTCTGGGCCCAATTACAATGATGTGAGGTGCAACAATCAATCATCATTGAGGCTTGCCGTAAGCTGGGGAATGCGGCAATGCAACTCTTTGCATCATTTGGACGGCCTCTTTTTTTCTAGAATCGGGTTTTGAGTTATACTTGTCATAAACACCTTTCAAGTGTTTTGTGCTTTGAGATGTAATAAGTTTGGTCTGATTCCTCTTGTTGGAGGATGAAGCCGGAATTTTCTTCCATTGTCTAAAAAGTGAAAGTATCATTTGGGTTTTAGTATTGATGACAACATGTGGACTAATGGCTTTGATTAAGTATGTCAAGATCAAACAAAAATCCATATGTAATGAAGAGCCAAATGAAGCCATGAGGTGGTGGCATTGTTGCATTGGAGTGCATTGGCTCGGCAAGATAAGAAGAGGAAGATGTGTTGTTGAAAATCGAAGCCCAAAGGCAAAGGTATAACCTATAGGGTTTGCTTTTTACTAGGCACACGGTGCTTAGTGGTGTGAAGTGGTTGGGTTTATGGGTTAGATAGCCATACTATTAAGAGAGAAATTCTTGATTGCTATTGCAGTTATCTAATGTCACTCGAATGATCTAACTTTGCGCATGAGATAGAATCAAGCGGCGGTGAGTAGTGCCAAACAAAAACCATTGAAAAATGGTAACTTAAAGCTAAATGGCGAGGTTGTCCTACAAGAAAACCCTTTGAAGTTAGATATCTGAAAAGGGTTATGAGTTGGCAAAAACCAGAGTTGGTTTGCTCTCACTAGAATATTTTGGATATTTTGGTGGGGCACCTGAAGGTTAGGTGGTCCAACAGGCCATGGGTTAGTTGCCCCAATGAGTGTGGCTACTTGCTATTGTTGGCATCCAAGCTCGGGTGGTCTAACAGATCAAGGTTACGGTCAGACCACGTCAGTAGCCTAGACGAGCCGAGGGGGCAATGTAACCCTCCGAGGCTCGGCCTTGCTCGAGAACCATAACATAAGGTCAAGCATTTGAACTAACTGGAGCTTGGCGCGCTCGGGCAAAGCTGGCCAGTCTAGTTGTTTCTCACCGCAGTTAGACCGTGCACCGTACCTATCTCATTTTTGCACAAAGAAGATGAGAGCTTTGGCTGGCTCGGTTGGTAGGTTGGCGGTCAGAACATGGGTTGTCTTGGTCTGACCAGCCAATGCTTCTTGGGCTTGGCTGGGGCTGCGTGTCAGTGGCCGTTCTTTTTGTCGTTGGAGAGCTGACGATTAGGCCTGCCCACTAGGCGGTTTGACCGCCATAATTGTTGGAAAGTAGGTTTTGGCCATAACATACATATCTCTTCCACCCTCTATATATGGAGGGGTGGTCAGCCCTTGGGACCACTTGTGGTCACTTGTGTGAACTCATCTACACCCTTGAGAGCCTCTATTGCACTCCCAACTCACTCACTTGCCTCGAACTAACTTTGAGAGTGTGGGAGATTGATTTCGCATTGCAAGCTTGGATTTCTTGCTACTTTTAGTGGTTACCGCCACCTAGACAGCTTGTAGCTTGGTGACTCCATTGAGGGCAACTATTATTGTTTGTGCTGCGCTATGGAGGTGAAATTGTGATGAGCTATTGAGTTTTCCCCACTGGTGATTGACAAAGAACATCTCTAGTGGAATCGAAGCTTGGAGAGCATCTTGGAGATAGACCAGGTCAAGCCTAGTGATCATGTGGAGCCTACCTTGCGGGGTAGGCCAAGCTTGTGGGCCTGGAGCTAACAAGAGGATAGCAGTGATCCTCGGTCTTGCCTCAACTGGAGTAGGTTGCCAGCAAGCAACTGAACCTTGGAGAAAAATCTTGTGTCTCCCCTTGTGTGTGGTTTGCTTACTTTACTCTTGTGGATTTAATTGAGTTCTTCATTTCCTAGATTAGAATTAGTAGGACTTTCCATCCTAGGTAGCAAACCCAAGTTAGTTTCAATTCTAGCAACTTAGGTAGTTTATCTTGTTCATGAATTGTGCTCTTGTTCACCCTAGGCTTGCAAAAAAGAGCTAGTGGTAGAAATATTAGGGTCTCATTTTTTTTCTAACAAGCTTACCTAAGTTTTGTGAACTTGTAGATTTTTAATTAGGATATTCAACTCCCTCTAGAATCCTAGATTCTTTCAGCTAGGCCACCTCTAGCCACTATTGCTGGCACTCTACCGTGATCGGCTACCGCCTAGCCTAGTGGAGGCTGGCTGTAATCCCTGGGGGCGACTGAAAGGTGGTGGCAGCGGACGACTAGGTGGTGTGCTTGATCTTTTAGCATCTTAATATTGCAAACTATTGGATTTTGACAAAAAAAATTAGCTTCATACTTAGTTTTTGCACTTGGTATACCATGATTTGACTAGTATTTTTAAGGAGATCTTGAAGTGATTCTCTAAATAGGAATTTAGGAACAAGCTAATATGCATGGTCAGATGTGCTAGAAGGTCGTCTTTGGTTTAGATGACAGGATAGGACCGGACGGAGTGATCCCACTTTTAGAGGTGTCGGTTTTAGGCAAAAGGGGACAGAGCCATCCCTCCATGGGAATATACCATTAGATTCGGGACGAACTCATCTCTGGCCCCATAAGAAACGCGAACGAGCTCATCCTTCTCTCACAGCATACAGTTCCATTTCTTCTAGCCCTTCTTTGTTTGCTTAGTGGGCTTCTCCATGCAACCAGGAACTAGTAGCAGATGGGTTGGCTGAGCAGCATGTGAGCTGCACTGGTGGGCGAAGCCATAAAAATAGGGGCTGAGGTCGATGAAGCACAGGCAGCGATGGTGGCCACAATAGGGGCAATAGTATCTGCAAACGCACACGGAGTGGTGGTTCCACCGAGGGTGTCAGTAGCGGCTGACCCATTCAGCTAGGTAGGACTAGCAAGGGCATCCATGGCAACAAACCATGTGGTTGGGTGGTGCCAATGTGGGCATCTATAGCGAGCAGAGCGACCAAAGTGGATCTGTTGCTCCCGCCGATCAATCAGTTGCTTCGTGAAAGTTATTGGTTGAGGAAGCAAGTAGAAACATTGCTAACATCCAGGGCTCACCTGAGGAAGCACAAAACAAGGTTGACTCCCTCTGCTCAACCGAACAAATAGGATGGGATCATCCCATGCCACAACACTAGAAAGGAACCACCCCATCTCACCTTGCTAATAACAAATCAAGCAAAGCTAATGAATGGCTAGATGAGCTAGAAACCCTCCTAAAGCACACTTCAGTTTTGCCAAATCTAGGGTTTCCTTATGTAGCTTGGCAAAAAAAAGGTTGTCACCAACACTCAACTAATACTATTAGAAGAAGGGTCGGTTAGAACTCCACTCCTAGAGAGATAAAAGTGTACGTGAACATGTTTAAAAGTAGGATCAAATGATCCTCACAAGCCTATATAATTTTTAAACTGTGAATCAGTTGAAAAGAACCTTGATTCTCTTGTGATGAGTGATTGACTAATGATCAAATGGCTTTGAGTGCTTTTGGGATTGCATGAAGTTCTTGTATCTCTTATTTGACTCTTCAGTTGTGTTTAGCCATTACCCATTCCTTGCTAACTGAGAGTTATTACTTGGAGTTTTCATCATCCTTTCTCACATAAAGTAACCTTGTATATTGCTTTTACTTGGCCTTTGGGCACTTGAGTGAGAATTCTTTATTTTGCTTTCAAACATTCTTTGATGTGATTAGGTGTTGGTCAATGAATTCATCAAGGGGGAGAGTAAGAGACCAAGTTAACAAGTGTCTTGGTACCATCCATGCATGATGAATGATTCAGACAAGAGTTTTGTGAGGTTTGAAGTTTTCCCATTGAGTTCATAGTTCATACATGCTTGATTATTCTAATGGCTAACTAGAGGTGTAGTGTCGTGTTGTGTTGAGTGTGTTGTGCAACATGTTTGTTGGCTCATGATGTGTAGGTGTATGGAGGTGACATGGTAGGCAGTGGTTGAGAGATGAAGGGCAAATAGGCTTGATGTTGATAGATCATGTTGTGGTGTAGAGCAAGAGGCTTGGCGCTTACAGACCAAGCAGTGGTGAAGGGTGAGAGTTGAGGTGTGGCACCGAAGCGACTGTCCATTCTGAGGAGCCATGGGCAATCTGCATCGCTCACATTGAGAGTGCAAGAAGACATGTGGATAAGAGGATGATGAAGATGGCATCGTCCAAAGTAAAGGAGCAGGACAGCGGTGTCATGGCTCTTGGCAGAGACCGAATATGAGTCGACGCCAAGGATGATGAAGATGGTGTCGGTAGAAAGAAGGCAAAGGCTTTGGACATTGGCCGATGTTGGACATGCATCGACATTAGTGATTCACACATGGCAAGGTGCGCAACGGGGTTTGCTAGTTTACTCTTGAAAACTAGGCACAAACA